CAGAGTTCTTTGATTATATGGAAATTTATGTCCTCTGAGCTATTCATTTATCATCGGTAAATGGGGATGAGATTACCCAATTTGTGTGATTACTGCTAGAATTAAAAGTCCTTATTACATAACGTGCTTAGTACAGAGCCTGGCATGTAGTAAGATATACAGAATAAATGTTATGATATTATTGCTATTATCTATTGAAGGATTAGTAATGCTAATAACTACCTGCATGATGGATAATAATGGACTAATACAAATTTTATATATAATATTTTTGCATATTCAAGTTCACTATTTAACTTGAATGTTATATTTCATATGACAAGACATTACAGTTTTGTTTGGAAGAACACTAAATTTTGGTTCTTTTTGAAATAGTTTTATCATAGAATGGCTATTGGGAAAATCGTAAATATAATCTAATTCCCATGCATTCTTTCTCCTTTGGTTAGGATTTAAGTTTTTATTAAACTAGAATGATTTATTTTATTTTTAGAGAAACCACCAGAGATATACTGTTGGTTTTGTTTTTAAATCTTTTCTGCTTTTAAACCTATTCAAACACAAGAAACAATCTAAATGCATTCTATTCTCTAATAACCTCTGATGTCAAATAAGTTGTCTGTAATTCTAGCTTAAATCTTAAATGCTGCAGTTTTGTTTTTACTCATCTTCTTCTCAGTAGAGTAAAAAGAAACAGCTGGTTACTATTGTCAGTTTTCTATTGTTTGGAATTTATTAAATATGCAACACTTGTGAATACATAGATATAAATATATATTTCCTTCCGGATATAGAACTCCCATTGCTTCTCTTTCAAGAATGATAGAATTTTATATGGAGAAGCTTTAGAGCTATTCTAGTCCCAGTGTATAGGCTGATTAATTAATACTAGTTAAAGTATTATTTATTGTCATCTAGCATGTCTTGTGATAAATTGCCTGATGTGTTCTTTGCTCAACTATCAATTCGAATATTATTCTTTTTTCTTTTGGATATATTGCAGTCCAACACACAATCTTTGCATATTAATATTAATGATTAAGCCATTAAATAATATTTTCCCAATTTATTGTTTGTTTTTAATTCAGTTTAAAGTCTTTTTGCCTTACAGGTTCATAATTAATATTTTGTCAGATACATATTTTTTCTTTTACAATTTTTTTTTTGGTTTCATGCATAGAGATGCCTTACTCACCATGAGCTCTTATCTGAGTTCATCTATATTTTACTCTGGCCCTTTAATATTTTTATTTTTAAGTTGGTTTTCTAATCCATCCAGAATTAACTTAAATCCAGCATTGCACATTTGTTCCTAATAAATTTCAAGTTGTTTATTATAGCATATTGCTTGGATCCGTGGTAGTACTTCATATCATAAGTCTTTTGCATACATATTCATGATATATATCAGTGGTTCTCAATCAGAGGTGATTTTGCCCTCTAGAAACATTTGGCAATGTCTGTAGACATTTTTTATTTGCCAGGACTAGGGGAGTGGCTGGTTACTGGCCTATAGTGAGCAGAGAGCAAGGATGATGCTAAGCATACTGCAATGTTCAGGACAGCCCCCACAACAAAGAATTATCAATAGTGCTGAGATTAAGGGACCTTAAGAGATGATAAATGGGTGGATGCATAGTTGATAGGTCAATAGGTAAATGTATAGATAGATATTCATTGAATACCATTCCTCTGCCAATTACATACCAAGAGTAGTATTATCCAGCCTGTATATATATATTTTGAGATGGAGTCTTATATTTTTATTCTTTTTTTTTTTTTGAGACAAAGTCTTGCTCTGTCTCCCAGGCTAGAGCACAGTGGCACGATCTTGGCTCACTGCAACCTCCACCTTCCGGTTTCAAGTGATTCTTCTGCCTCAGCCTCCCACATAGCTGGCACCCACTACCACGCCCAGCTAATTTTTGTATTTTTGGTAGAGACAGGGTTTCATCATGTTGACCAGGCTGGTCACAAACTCCCAACCTCAGGTGATCTGCCTGCCTCGGCCTCCCGAAGTGCTGGGATTACAGGCGTGAGCCACTGTGCCTGGCCTTTTTTATTCTTTACCTACATTCTATTCTTTACCCGGAAGTGCATTTTAAGAGACTTCGACTCCTGCTTTATGGAAATCCAGATACACTGTATTGTTGGATATCCCTGGTTTGGGCACATAGCAAATATTGAATGAGTGTTTTATGAAAATGATAATCATAAATAAAATAAATTTTTAATGAACCTTATTTAATCAAAGTGACTTTTTTATATGTTAAAAAGTATGCTTTTAAAAATCTATTGTGGATTTTTCCTAGGAATCACTTTGAAGTAGTATGTTTCTTCTTTAGTCTTCTACCACATCTCTTATTCTCTTTCTATGCAGCATAAACTTCATCAGAATATCAACTTTGTTCTCTTTATTATTTTTAGTTAGCTTTTATTACCATTGTCAAGCTTGCAGATTTTCTTGTAGGCACACATCTCTTTAATATGTATAGGTGCTGATTTTTTTCCATCTATGAGAATCATTAGTTTTGCATAAAGACTGTATCCATTTTTTGTTACATTCTAGAAGTTAATCATGATATCCATGGAATTATATGCATCATCTGTGTCAAAAATTTCTATTCATTCTTTTAACTTATCCTGAATACATGTTGTATTAATATTTAAACACTATTGTTTCTGGTCCCCTTATTAGAAAAATATTTTCTTCTGTGTATTTGTGAGCCTCTTCTTATTTTGCTGCCTGTCAAATTTGACATCCTCTACAACAGCAATGTCAAATGGATGGAATTGACTGTAATGATGGAAATGTTCTGATCTGCACAGTCCAATGCAGTAGGCATAGTTGAAAACTTGAAATGTAGATAGGGCAACTAAGGAACAAAATTTTACCTTTAATTTAGTTTTAATTTTAGTAGCCACATGTGTCTATTGGCTACTGTATTGGATAGCACAATTCTATAGAGTAATTCCTTACCCTTCCATTTGTAGCTTAAAATCTTCAGTTTTATTTTATCTTAAACCTATTTTTTGTTTTGTATATTATATGTGTTTCTTATGTCCCAGTGATTAAGTTTTTTTTCCTTCATTTCCTATGTTTTCTGTATTGTGATAATATATATTCTTAGATGACTAGGAGTGTAAAACTGTATTTCTGTAATGTATTATTTATTAATATCAGGTGCTTGCTTTTCCATACTATTTTGCAAATCAAAATGATAACGTTCATTGTAGGAAAAATGAAAGAAGAAAAACAGAAAATATAAACAGCAGAATAAAGCAAAGATTACTACTACTAACTGACTGCACAGGCACACACACAGACACACATAGAGTGTTATATATACTTGGTTAAGTGCTTTCTATACATAACATATTATTTTGTTTTTAAACACCTTACTGATTGTACAGCTAATACATAATCTTTAGAAAAAAATTTAAAAAACATTGAGGAAGGCCGGGCGCGGTGGCTCAAGCCTGTAATCCCAGCACTTTGGGAGGCCGAGGCGGGTGGATCACGAGGTTAAGAGATCGAGACCATCCTGGTCAACATGGTGAAATCTACTACAAATACAAAAAATTAGCTGGGCATGGTGGCGTGTGCCTGTAATCCCAGCTACTCGGGAGGCTGAGGCAGGAGAATTGCCTGAACCCAGGAGGCAGAGGTTGCGGTTAGCCGAGATTGCGCCATTGCACTCCAACCTGGGTAACAAGAGCGAAACTCTGTCTCAAAAAAAAAAAACAAAAAACAAAAAAACATTGAGGAGTAAAGTGAAGTGTCACAAGGTATAGATTAACCACTTTTATTACTTTGTGGTATTTTTTTTCTCCCAATATTGTTTCTAAGACCTATGGGTAGATGGTATGCAGGTAGGTAGGTAGACAGCTGGATATGTAGACAGGCATTTTCAAAAATTGAATTATACTATATGTAGGGTGGGCCAATAAAAGTATACACTTTCCGTAAGAAAACAAAATTATGTGTCACTATGGGTATGTATCATCCATAGTGATATTAGTGACCATTTTGAATGTTTGTAACCTTAATAAAAATACATATTGGTTAACATTTATCCACTGGATTTGTCTATTTTTAATTGTGTCTTGCTTTTTCTATCATGAGCATTTTTCTCTAATATAAAATAAAATTCACAAATAGTATTTTAATGGCTTCATTGTAGTCAATTTATTATCTCTATACCATTAACCAGTTTCCTATTGGACAGTTAGGATGGTTCTCCTTTTTTACTACTATAAATAGCATTACACTCTACATATTAGTGCCTAAAATTATTTCATTATTTTCTTATCTAATTATTTTATCTCTGATTATTTCGTTAGTATACATTCTTAAAAGTGAAATAATCACTGGCCCAAATGAAATGGATTTGAGATCCTTGGTATATATTGCCAAGTCAAATCACCCTCCAGAAAGTTCCTTGTTGCTTATAGAAGAAAAAAAATTGTTGTTTTATTTTTATGGTTTAATAATTTTTATGTTTCGTTTTGTTTTGTTTTTGAGATGGAGCTCGATCTGGTGCCTAGGCTGGAGTGCAACGGTGTGATGTTGGCTTACTGCAATCTCTGCCTCCCAGGTTCAAGAGATTCTTTTGCCTCAGCCTCCTGAGTATCGCGTGCTACCATGCCCGGCTAATTTTTTTATTTTTATTTTTTAATTTTTAATAGAGACAGGTTTCACCATATTGGTCAGGCTGTTGGTCTAGAAATCCTGACCTCAGGTGATCCACCCACCTTACACCAGGTGTAATCCCAAAGTGCTGGGATTACAGGTGGGAGCCACAGGACCTGGCTGCAGCTTTTCTTTGAACTTTTAAACTGCTTTTAGGACTCGAGATTATTTTTTAATAAACATAACTTTCAAGAGTTTAGCAAAGTAATTAATTTGTTATACATACCCAAACAATGTAACTCTCCATTTTTTGCTAGCAAAAGTTTTCAGATATAAGATTTTCATTGTATAAATTTTTTCTTTTTAGGGTGAACAAGGAGAAAAAGGAGATCCAGGTCTGGCTGGCCTTAATGGAGAAAATGTAAGCCTAACTTTTTTTTCAGATACTCTGTTTACATTTTGCCACTAAAATATGCTATTTAATGCTATTAAGATTTACCTTTTTTTGGCAGAGCCAGCCATGATCCAACACAATTAAGAATCATGGTGTTGTTTCACATGGCTCAGTAGAGGCCTAGTGTTTTTAGTTTCATTTCATTGGTTTTATAAAGGCCTTTCTTCCTTGATGGTTCATGCTTGCACATTTTCTAGTCCTCTTTTTCTGTCTTTTTTCATCTTACATATCTTCTGCTGTGGCCTATGCTCTTACCACTGGTTCACTTTTCATCTCAGTCTGAATCTCCATCTAGTCTACAGATGGTGTCTGTATTGGTAGGCTTTCAGTGATGGAAAGAAAGGGTGGAAGTGAAGGGAAACTAAATCTATATTGCTCCCTTCCATGGCACCAGTTCCTCAGCCTCAGGGATAACATTGCCTGTGATATCCTTGGACCCCAGTCATCTCCTCCTCTTCCCATCAGGACAATTATCCTCCCAGAATTGCACTCTAGATTTTAGGATAAAATGTGAAGGATGGCCCAAATGTGGGTTTTGCTCTGAAATGTAATTTTATTTACATTTACTCACTATTTACTATAGATATGTTAACTTTACTGGTAGGGGAAGTGTCCAAAATGAGAATTAGTTTTTCCCTCAGCTTCCTTTTCTCACTTGCATAAAGGACCTGAAGGGCCACACAGCTTACAAAAGAATAAGGGAAAAACTATGAGACTCTATCTAGCTCCCTAATGCTCTAGATGTGTTAGGAAATCCATTTTGTAAGCAGTAGACCATTACAATGGAAGACAGGCTGAAGACCAATCTTTTGAGCCTAAGGAGAAAGTCATAAGGATATCTTATGTGTGTGTGTTGGGGGGAAGTCTTCCAAAAAAGAAAGACCCTAGTAACCCTAGTAGTAATAGTAGTTAACGTTTCTATGTATGTTAACTACTAAACAACTTTCTTTTATAAAATACTAAAATTGACCTTTAACTCTAAATATCTGGCTGAAAAGTCTGATTTTCCCAGTCAATCATGCTACACATAATTGCTTATTTCTCAGTGCTAAAAAAACTGACTCTGCAAACTAAAGTAATTCAGCATTTATGACAGTTCACTCTGACTTTCAATAAGCCCAGGTATACATTCTTAAAAAATGAAAGGTATTAGAATGGCCATTTGGATTTGAATTAAAGTCAAGCCATGATGGAAATTATAACTTCAGAAATATTATCTTAGAATGCATGGTAAATAAGCTCAATGGGCCAGGTGACTCCAGCTACTTTCTAAGTCAAAGTATATTGGAATGCTTTATTATTTCTACTAAACAAATTCAACAGCCTTTTTTCATAGTCTTTATTGTTGCATTTTATATGTATCTTAATGTCAATGTATCTTATAACAACTTCTTTTGTGCCAGCTTTCTCATAAAATGGGCCAGCTCTCTTTGGAAAGTGTAAATGATAAATTAAAGGGTAGCATGTAGCAGTTCAGTCTTTCTCAATGTGGCACTGCTGGCATTTTGGCAAGACAATTCTTTCTCAAGTCAGACTGTCTTGCAAAAGTGGAATGTTTAGCATCCTTGAAGCTCACCAACCTAATCTAAATGCTGGTAGCAGTCCCTAGTCATTGGGATAAGAAAAAATACGCTGATATTTTTCTAAGTGTGTCTTGACTGTGTATGTGTATGTGTATGCATGCGTGCGTGTGTGTGTGTATATGTGTGCATGCCTAAACTTTTGGTTGATCTCTATGGTATTACTAAGCAAATGCATTCTCATGTTTCCATTCTAGTTTATATAATGAATAGCAAACATATATTTAAGTTTTCAAAAATTTGAATTGCTAGAATTTAACTTTGAAAATATAAGACCTCATCTTTACACATAATCTAGTGTATAATTAAATAATTTTTATTGTGGCCTAACACAAAATATATTTAACAGAGGTATCTTAGAATGGACTTGAGAGCAAGTATTATACAGTTGTAATTGCAACCTTTAAAACCAGACTATCTGGGTTCAAATCCCAGCTCTGCCACTAACTAGCTGACATACTACTTAGTAAATTACTTATCCTCTCTGTGCCTCAGTTTCTTTATTTGTACCATGGAATGATAATTTCAATAGTACTTACTGTAGGGAAAAGATAATTTTTCTTCCCCTCTGGGGGGTTCAGTCTGCTGAAATGAACTGACAAGAGACAGATTAACAGGAGAAAAGGCCTACAGATATATTAATGTGCATACAGTGGGAGCCATAAAAAATATGACTCAAAGAAAGCCCAGATGGCTGAAGCTTAAATAGAGCCCTCTTTATAGGAGAGAAGGAGATGACAGGTAGTAAATTATTTTCAGAAGAACTGAATGGGACCAAGAGTTAACAATAGCTTGTGGACAAGTTCAGAGAGGTGTGGGCTGGACCTGCACTGTGAAGAAAAGTTGTCTTATGCACATAAAGACTCCCAGGTAATCTCTCAGAGCTGCCCTCAGAATAGACAGAGTCTTTCTGGGCATGGTAACAACTTTTAGTTTATTCTCTTCTCCAGATATTAATTTTCCTGGTTATTTGATTAGGTTCATAGAAAATGGGTTTTAAGACAATTGCTTTTTTTGGAAGAAAACCTCTCAGTCTGTAAAAGAAACTTCCAGAGAGAGCCCGTCCCTGTGCTCCAGGAGGGGTTGGGGGAGAAACAAGAGAAGGTTAGAAAGTTCTTGGATCTGAGGTGACTTCTAAGGCCTTTGAGTTTCTTTAATTCAAAAGTACTCAGCATATCAAAGCACCACACTTTGGGGTTATCACACTCTGTGCCCCAAAATTACCTCATGGATTTTTTTGTGAAGATTAAAGGGACTATCATACAGAAAGCATTCAGAACAAAGCAAGAACTATATAAACATTCACTATTAGAAACTGGGTTAAATAAAACACATTTAGCACTAATAGGAATTTTTATTTATTTATTTGTTTTTTTGTGGGGTTATATAATCTTAGGAAAGCAGATTTAATTGTTGAGTTGTCTCTTTTTCTGAATCTATATTATGGTCTTTTAAATATCCCTCATTAGAATTACAGCATCTGATGTTTCTAAAATAATCATGTTAATCTCCTTATACCAGCACAATCTGTACTACAGAATTCAAAAATATTAAAATCACAAAACTAGAAATATCGGCTGGCAACAGCTGTTGACACTGCTAGAGAATAAGATTAAGTCATGGGAAGCTTGTGAAAAGAATTAATTGATGGGTCAAAATTTTTAACAAATAATATTTTTATATTATCTTCTGATTTTTAAAGATGTGACACCCTATTAAGTAGTAGTAGGTACTCCAACAAAAATTAATTTTATAGTGTACCTACTTTTGTAATTCTAGTTATAATACTGCTCTTCAGCTTTTATCTTACCTTTAGGTATCAGTTTCTGTCTCCACATTACATGCAGAGTCAACTACTGTGCTTTTGAGAATTTTTATATGCATGAATTTTATTGAGAACCTTCATAACAGATACCCATCTTTCTCAATATTGAATTCAGAGTCTGTTCCATTTGGCTCTTTATGCCTATGGTGAGTGCTGTGTCCTTTCTCCCCAGCACTCAATAACCATCGATAGCAGCACTAGTGTGACACAAGGAGAAAAACTGCATTTGAGAAAAGCATTACTGATCTGTTTCTCAGAGCCTATTACAATGCCATGGCCTTAACAACATTATACTTTGTCACAGGAAGACGTGAGTTACATGGGGCCACTTTAATGGCCATAAAAGTAGAAGCTTGACAAATGCAGTGCTTCTCAATTGCATTTTATCCCATGTGAGTTAAAGCACAGTTGTTACATATCCATCAAGCTGATATAAAACTGAACAAGAAAGAAAAATCAGTTATCCCTTAAACTTGAACTTGAAAAATAAAAGCAGCATTTATTAAGTTCCTACCATGTGCTAAATGTTTCTACAATGTATGATTCTAAGAACAACCCTTCAAGAAAACTATTACTTATTATACCTATTATATGGGAAAGCTTACCTAACTTACCCATGTTTATGCATAAAAGGCCATTCCTCTTCTGACTCTCCTGAAATCCACATCTGTGAAGTCTTAGACACCTCCACTAGAATTAGGCATCTGTGGGAAATACTTCCTGCATACCTGCTATATACTTCAATGATAATATTCACATCAACTTGTAATTGGCTGCATCATCCCCCTCACCTCTCCCTGCCCATAGTTGACTGAACCAGGGAGAGTTAGCTGATTCAACTGCCAATACGTTGCTTCCCTAGAAATTACAACTGGGATTGATTTGATGAGCAGGAATCTTTAAAAATTTTAGTGTATTATTTTATGCCTACAAAAATAATATATATAACATATATGATGGTTATAAATCATAGTTATAATGAGAGCACCAATGTACCCAGAACTCAATGTGAGAACTAAGACATCATCTTCCACATGGAATCAGCCTGTGGTTCACCATATAATATCCTCCACTCCAGAGTTAACCATTTTTCTAAATGTTGTGCCTAATGTTTTCTTTCATTGTTAAAAATTATGTTTCACACTTACACATTTATAAGGAGTATATAGTTTAGTCTTACATGTTTGCATATGTTCAATAATATTTGTTGAATAAATGGATACTCAAGGTTTTTCTCAGCCATTTTTTTTTTGCATTTGTCTTTTCTCTGCATAGTTTTATACAAGCAAGAAGACAGAATCTCTTTTTAATAAATTTCTCTGCACAGTGAATGGTATAACTTCCTAGGCAGTTACTTAAGCTAAGTGCACATTAGCCTGGAGATTTTCCTTTTTCTCCTCCACTTCTGGCATATCTGCCAGTCTTGCTTCAAGCATGTGCCAACTCTGACCACTTTTCACCATCACCACAGGCACAACCCTGTCCCAGCTATCCTGCTCTCTTTCCTGGAAAAGATGTCATAGGCCCTTTTCTGCTCCCATTCTTGCTGCCCATAATCTGCATTCCACATTGCAGCCAAAGTGGTTTGTGGGGATTTTTGTAAACATATTCACATCATGTCATTTTCTTGCTTAAAACACCTAAGTGGTTTTCCGTTGCATGTAGAACAAAACCCTTCTTCCTCATCATGGCCTGCGGTTCCTTATGTACCATGACCCCTGGCAAACCTTGACTTAATCCCCTGCTCCTTACCTGTGTGCTCATGACACTCCTTTTACCTTGGTGACCTCTGTGCTTCTTGTTCCCTTTGCCCCCACACTTCTCCCCAGATTATTGCAAGGCTGGATCCTTTTTTTTAGTTTGTGCAAATTCATGGGGTACATGAGAACTTTTTTACACATATATAATACATAGTGATCAAGTGAGGTGTTTAGGTTATCCATTTTCCGAATGCAATACATTTTTTTAATGTATACTCATCCTAATCTGCTATCAAACATTGAATATATTCCTTCCATCTTACTGTACGCTTGTATTTTTTTACCCACATCATTTCATCCTCCCTCTACCCCTCACTCTTTCCAGTCTTTGTTATCTATTTTTACACTTTCTACCTCCATGTGTTCAAATTTTTTTGCTCCCACATCTAAGTAAGAATATGGAATATTTGTCTTTTTGTGCCTGGCTTACTTTGCTTAATATAAAAACTTTCAGTTCCATTCATGTTGCTGCAAATGACAGGATTTTATTTTCCTATGGCTGAATAGTACTTCATTGTGTATATATAGCACGTTTTCTTTATCCATTCATCTGTTGATGGACACAGAATGATTCTACATTTTTGCTAGGATCCTTCTGAAACAATAAATGTCACCACCACACAAGGGCCATTTCTGACACCACACCTGAAGTAGCAGCTCTCTTCTCTTTCACTTTTATCGCATTCAGCCTGTTAACCTGTTTATTGTCAGTCACTCTCCTCTTATTACGTGAGTTCCTTGAGGACAGGAACCTTGACCTTGTTAAAGAAAAAGATTATTTACACTTGTTTTTAAAAAGTGATAAGGAAGACATTTTATTCCAGACTATTGCAATAGGGGAATTGCAATAAGGGAGAGAGATCAGGTTCAACTCTAACTACAACAAAGACAAGTGGGGATTTATAGCCAATAAGCAGAGGGAGGGAAGTCACTGGGTAGAAAATTAAGAGGAGACATCAAGGGTAGAGTGATTCTGACTAAATGGATCTAAGAAGATTCTTGCTAAAGACAGGCCAAAGACTTAGACGTCAAGGTAGGGCATAAAGAACATGATCTCCTCAAAGTTTATGGAATGGAGAACAGATTTTAAGGGTGAGAGATTTTCTATACATGTACTTCGCAAGATTCTTGCTATAATTGAGCTTGGCAGAACAAAGACAGAATGGGGGCCACGTCCCAGGCCTAGTTGAGAAGAGAGCTCAGAGGACCCTGACTAAAGTTTGGTGATGGAGAGAATCTTCATTAATTTCTTATTCTTTTCTGTATCTCTAAAGTATTACTAATCAATAGAAATATAATGAAAGCTACAAATTCAAAATGAATGTAAATACATTCTTTTTTCTAGTAGTCAAATTAAGAAAAGTAAAAGGAGACAAGTGAAAATGCTTTTAATATTTTATTTAATCCAATATAACCAACTGTTATCATTTAAGCATATAATTAAAAAATTATTAGTGAGACATTTTATATTTGTTTCATATACCAAATATTGTAAATCCAACAGTGTTTTATACTCACAGTATAATTCAATTCAGACTAGTCACATTTCAAGAGTTCAAAAGCTACATGTGGCTTGTGGCTATTCAGTACAGGTCTAAAGGCCAGAAGTGACTTCACACTAGGTATGCAATAAATGTTTATTGAATAAACAAATGAAAGAACAAGTGAATTAATAATAAATCTATTCACAGAAATGGCAAATTTCTTCTCTCAAGTGTTTACAATATGCTGTTGCCAAGTTCTACTCTGGAGACACGTATAAATAGATTATGGTTGCTTGATTTGGGAAGAAATGGATATTGCAAATAATAATACTATGTCTTAAATATTATGTAATTTTTCACTCATCTTTTTTTCTATAAATATTCCAAGGTAATGATTGAAAAAGCATAACCATGAGTTTTATACATGAAGGCATTTATGCAACTACAAGGTTTTTTGCCCAATTAGATATTGTTTTCATCCACTAAAAATGTTTTTCTTAAAGTATATTACAGTTTTCACATACTGTCTGCAACAGGCTTATTTTAAGTATTCAATTTTCTTTTGTTTCTTTCATTTCATCACTGGTGTCTATAGTGAGTACAGGTGATGGAATTCAGTATTATTTATTCACTACAAAATGTCAGGGCAGTAATAGCTGAGTCTTTCAGCTAGGAGCAGTAAGATGCTCAGATTTACTGTGCATTGTGTGGCTTCAGAATACCTCTTTTTTCTATTATTGTTCTTCCTTTATTGAGTCCTTAAATTAAGGACAAAAGAAGATATTTTTTCCTATTTACCATGTAGTGAGGATGTGTCTATCTAACTTTCTATGTACACTGTGAATTTATGCATCTGTAGAGCTGATCTCCTCGGTACATTCTATGGTAGTACTCTCGAAAGCTGTCATTGCTTAGTCAGATCAACTAAATACCCTTAAAACATCCAACAGTCCAGAGGACTTATGAAAATATTTATCTGATATTCTGTCTATGTCATATATAGTTTCATTTGACATCTTTATAAATCCAGGCAAAAAAGATAGGAATTAGACAACTAAAACATAGTTTAAAACAGGCGAGAGATTACATTTTAGCTCCAGTTGTGTGATAGCAAAAGAATGCATCTTTCATTCCTTTTCCCTTCACAATTAGATTTCTTGATAGAGACATAAAAATGTTTTTGATTTTACTCTTGAGTTTTTTTGGCAAGCTTTACAAAGGCCAAATCAATGCTAAATCAGAGGTATTTACAACATCCACAAATTTAATCCAAAGTGGATACTTAGAAGCTCATATAGATCTAAATGATATTCTCCCAGATGGTGAATTAATGTAATTTTAGCAGGAAGCAAAGTTGCACAAATATGCAGTATTGAGGACTCGAGCTGATTTAATGTATCTGTGCCCACCACGGCACAGATGTTGCTTATCATTTTAGTGCCAGTTGTCTCTATTTCTCTCTATACTACAAAAGGAAGAATGGGATTTGAAAGTTTAGTAAATTATGATTTATTTTGTTACTAGTGACTTTTTAGAAATTAAAGCTTTCTTTGAACTGTGTATTGACTATATTCTTTCTACAGGGTTCAAAAGGTGACTTGGGTCCTTCTGGTCCACCTGGCCCAAAAGGAGAAAAGGTATTGTGTTTACCCAGCAAAGCGCAATCTTTCTTTAAGAAAACCCTGACAACCTATGCAGTGACTTCTCATTGATACTGTTTATCTCCCAAAAGCATTTTAAAGTTAACCAAAGGCTGTTACATTAATAGCATCTGAATAAGAACAGCCTTTTTGTTCATTTAATTAGTTTGAAAAGACTAAATGCACAATTGCTAGTTGGCATTAACTTGTATTTATAAGATTTCCCTTTTCTTGCCCTTGCTTAACAGCATTAGGTATTCAATCACCAAATTAGCGAGTGTGGCCTGTATTGGAAAATTTTGCCAATAACATTGAGCTGCTACCATAATGGTGAGGCAAGTGGCTTTTGGAAAAAAGCTAACTTTGTATCTCAGTCTTAATCTAACTATTCCATTTTCTGCCACTTTTTCTCATAAAATAAGCTATTTCACAATGACATGTTTGCAATGACCTTGAAAAGGAAAATAAGAAATAGTAAAAAGCAAGGGTTGTTTTGAATGAAGTAGTTGAGTGATCCCAATTTGATGAAAATTGTATGTATATGCACTTTGCACTGTATTTTGTTCTCGGTTCTTAGCACATTTAGAAATCCTTGTCTGTCTTCAATATTTATCTATGTGGTAAAGGTGATCTTGCAAATTAGTCCTCAGTGACTGATTAAAGCCACATCAGTGTTCCTTAGCAACTATTGTCTATTTTAATTCAATTGTTGCAAAAACAATGCATACAGAATGCTAAGTTTTAACTTTCTAGGTGGCTGTATTTGTTGAGAAAAGAGAAAGTCCTAAAGATACTCAACATGAGACTACAGCACCCTGGTACCCCATGCTATACAGTACATGGCCTCCATAATGTGCAGCTAAATAAGAACCATGGCAAGGGTGATTGGTCTTAGTATTTGAGAGTTCTTGTGTAATAAATAGAGTTTCCAGGACTGTAAAGTATAAGGGGACATGGAAATTGGAAAATGGTGAACTTTTAGATGAACCATTTTTTAAGGATGTTGAATAGTTGTTGATATACCCACCTGGAAATTTGTATTCATATAGATCAGCAAAGCAATTTTAGTATTCAAAAATACATAAATATAGGCAAAGCCTCTTACAGTTGATGGCAAATGTGATGCCAATTCAGCAGAGCTTTAGAAGAGGCCATGGGACTGCTTCTTGCAGCTGGGAGGCATGAAATGGGGAGATCCACTTATTATTTCTGCTGATCCTCATACTAACTTTGTCAGACAAATTGTCTATCACTGTGACACTTCCCAGCTGTTCCACTGGCAAGTAACCATACTTGAAAATATATTATTTCTAATTTTGGATTAATAGACAAAAGAATAGAAAAATTAGATTATTTGAGCTTTCAAAACAAGTCCTGCTTTTGCAAAAACCATGGAATATACAAGGTGATTTTTATATCATAAGAGCTAAAAGGGACATGATAAATTTTCTTTGTGTGGAGAATTTTATCAGGATTAAATTCCATTTTTCTATTCTTCAGGATTTATCTATATATATTGCTTCTATTCACTTATAAATTTATAATATGCAACAAGGTACTAGTGGTAATTGCAGCTTTTCTTTAATCTATTTTAGGGAGATACAGGACCCCCAGGACCACCAGCCTTGCCTGTAAGTATTCTTGAAATCGAAATTCAAAATTGAAAGCCGTTATTCTGTTTATTATTCATATTACTTCATGACTAAACCAGGATTTAAATCACAGAGTTAAGAATTGAAGGTGACTTTGAGTATATGTAGGCAAACCTCCACATTTTAAAGATGGGCATCTGCCCACAATAGTGAAATACTTGACCCAAGGTCATACAGTTAGTTACAATAAAAGTCTGGAATCAGTACCTACCCTGAGCAATTTTCTCTGTCCTCCATATGATTCATAATTGTGTTTCCTAAATGTTTTATTATGCACTGTTAACATCAGGTTTCAAGTAAATGGAATCAGATACAGTCCTACTTGCTTTAAAAACTGTAAAAGGACAAAACAAATTGTAATTATCCAGTGAGTAAAAAAGCTACCTGTTTAAACTGTTAGTTACATTCTCCCAGCACTGTCTAAAACCATTATTTTCCTCTATGATTTGCTTCTAAAATTTGCAGATGATAAAAATGGCAATATTTTAGTGACAGATTTATGAGAAAAGTTTATAATGTGCACATAATGAGATTGTTCTCAATTAAATGGTACATCATATATGAAGCACTTAATAATAAATATATAATGCTCTTAAATTCAGATACAATTTACTATTACAGACTTCCTTCATAGGCCATTGAAGATTCTCATTTAACTTAGATAAGACTCTAAGCCTAATGGAAAAGAGGACAGTTTAAAAATAAATCTTCTATAGCCTGAAGTCTTTGATATTACCTATGAGATAAATTAAGCATTTAAATCAGTAGTTTTCAAAGACCTATTCTGATTATAGAAGGTCAGATTTTAAAAAGTATTCTAGTAATCTGGATGGAGCACTTCCCATTGGCAGAACATAGGAATCTCAAAAACTGTGTGATTTTGATAATATCTATATTTATCTTTGTACTAAAAATTCCATTATGAAAAAAACATTAATAGTGTTTTACACAAATAATCTTTACAACTCCCATATTAACAAATGTTTTTTGATATGTAGAAAACCTAAGGAAATAAATAGGTGACTTACTTGGGGATAACTCATTAAATTTACAGTAGAATTCTATGCTGTAAGCTTTTAAGCATGAAAAGAGAAATTATTTGACAGGCGGTTTTAAGTGCCTATTATTTTGTTTTTTATACTTGGTAGAATTAAAAAAAATTATTTGGCAGTGATTTAGTTAAACCTGCTCATTTTACTTAAGACACATGCCTGTTTTCTCTTCAACTAAGTTATATGCAGTCATTTAGTTAAACCTGCTCATTTTCTGTAAGACTCATGCCTGTTTTCTTCAACTACTCCACTTAGTTATCTGATTTCCTAGTCATTTCCAACTCATGTTGGAAGGCCAATATGCAATATACATATATCATTTCACCTGAAATACAGTTTTTGGCTTCTCAATCAGAAAATTGCATTGGATTATATATACTTTGTGGATTTTTAATAGCAGCCAGCTTTTTTCTGCCAAGGAACACCTTGAAGATACCTCTACACCATTCAGCTGTCAAGCACTTAGAGATTACAAGCTAATTTCATACTTGTCTAAAAATATGAGATGTAGAAAACACTATGAAATGAGATGCTTTATTTCATAAAATAAAATATTCATATTATTGGGGTATTACTATTTTGTATGTCTGACATTGCTTTCTTTATTAATATAAATTATCAACTGTTCTCTACAAAAGAAATAAACTAAAATTAACACCAACTTATAATACACTCAATATTTAATTGATCTGATAATGCAGGTTGATATATTATTAGTTGAAATAGTTGGTAATAGTCTTTGAGGAAGCCCAAATGACTGACTGCATCATATTTGGATTAAATGAGGCAGTGATAAATTGGAGTCAGTAAACAGAGTTCATCCATAATTATTCTCAAAACTAGCTGCACACTAAAATCCACTGAAGAGTTAAAAGAAACTTACCAATATTGGGGCTTCACCCCCAGAAATTTCAATTCAATCAACCTGATATGGGACCAGTATATTTTAAAAGCTCCCCAAGTGGATCTTCATATGCAGCAGGAATTGAGAACTATTGTTTATGGGAACTAGAATGGAAAAGGCTTTCTTCCCACTCAAAAAATTATTTTAGTTTGTTGAACTAAACTAATTTGAAATCAACTAAAATGAAATCAACTTTCATTTGAAATATAGCTTAATACATAGTAAAAGGAACTATCTCTTTCCATTAGGGAGGCATACTAGTAAAATGAAATTAAGATTGAACCTTGCTTCATTAAATGGAGAGAATTAGGGCCAGGAAGGTATCTTTAATTACATCCTTCACTCAAATGTCCATCTACTCCTGCCTTAATACCTCTTAAAATTTAATGCGTATAGCAACATTCAGGGTCTTGTTCAAATGTATATTTTTATTCCTAAGTCTGAGATGAGGTCTGAGCTTCTATATTTCTAGAAAACTCCAAGGGATGCAGATGCTACGGGTTGTTGGACTACACTGGTCACAAGGGCTTAGCACCCTCTTCCCAACTAGCTGCCTTTTCCCGTAAATCAGTGATTCTCTATATTGACTGCACACTGGAATTACCCAAGGTGTTTTTAAAATTCTAATTCCCAGACTGCACCACATACCAGTAAAGTTTGAATCTCTAGGGAGGGACTCAGGCAACAGTTGTTTTAGCTTTTTCCCAAGCAATTCTAGTGTGTAGCCACGCTTGAGAACTAAGGCTCTGAAAGCATGTCTAATACTTTTCTTTACAGCTTTCTCTTACAGATCTTGAGCAAACATTTTGGAATTACTCATTACACTGGTATTTCTATCAAAAACACCTGACCTGATGACTTTCATGAGCTTCAAGGAGAGGCCAGCCTTCCTAGTCATACGTACAGTTCGCTTCTTGACTACTTCATTTTAGAGGACAGATGAACTTCCATTTCCACATTTACAAGCTACTAGCAAGTTCAACAGTAATCCTTCTTGTGAAGGACAACAAGCATTGACAACTTTAGGACACAGTATTCCAGAAACTCTCTAAGCACACATGGCTGAACTGCCCACAATAACTAAGGGGGAAGAGCTAAACACTTTATCCCCCTCTAAGCCATACATTCTATATTCGCTTTACTTTTATTCATGTTTTGTTTAATAAGAAGAGAAATAGTAATGGAGCACACTGTAATACTGAGTTTACTGATGCAGGGGCAATCCTTTATGATGTTTTTGGGGAATTATGTTTTTTTTTTTCTTTTTGAGATAGGGTCTCACTCACTCTGTTTCCCAGGCTGAAGTGCAGTCGCCCCATCACAGCTCACAGCAGCCTTGACCTCCTGGGCTTAAGTGATCCGCCCATTTCAGCCTCCCATGTAGCAGGGACGACAGATGGGTGCCACCATACCCAGCTAATTTTTTATTTTTTTAAACAGAAACAAGGTCTTGCCATGTTGCTCAGGCTGGTTTTAAACTCCTGAGCTCAAGTGATCCTCCTCCCTCGGCCTCCCAAGTGCTGGAATTACAGGCATGAACCACTGAGTCCAGCCAGGATTATGTTTATTGCAGTTATTTTCATATTCCTGTGGATTTTTATGCTTTTGCTACTTAAAAAATTTTTTAATCACATAGAACCAGTTCATCAAAAAGACCTGATACATAAAACCATCTATTTAATTTTTTTCTTATTTATGCTTTCTCTTCTAACTGGTTGAGTCTGTACGTAATTGGATCCCAGTGGAAGAGAGAGAATAAAGAAGTGAGGGAGACCAAGTCTAAAAAGGAGTAAGAAAAGATAAAGTCAAGGAAATGGCGTGAAACACAGACTGGAGTCCTAGAAACAGTTTGATTTGTTAGCTTCACAGCTGCAAGAGCTTTTACCCTTTGTTTCACCTCTCCCTTCCTGCCACCTGAAAGTATTCTTACTGCCGGTGACCAGTGCTTCCTCACTCTCTAATATATAAGAAACTTGTTAAAAAAAAGCCAACCAAAATGGTGCTGCAGCTTGCAAATGCAGGGTGCAGTATACCCCTTGATTATTTGAGGAAACAGGACCTGATTCAAAATTCCACAGTTGAATCCCTTTGATAACATTTGAATCCTTCTATAGATTCATGTTCACAGGTCATATGGAAAATAGTCCAATGTAACAGCTTCAGAAAAAAAATAAGAAGAAAAGAGAAATCTGAGGCCTGTAAAAATGTCATAGAGATTAAAGTGACATTTGTAGCACTAATTGTCACTTACATCCTTTAACCTTTAAGTATTCTGTCAGTCTACTTGACTTGAAAAACAATAGAATTATACTTTTTGATATGACATTAATAAATTTGCAAATCTTATTTTATAGACTCTCCAGATTATTCTAACAATAATCAATCAAGAAATAAATTCAAGAACAATTTTGTAAATCTATAAAAGGAGTATCTAGAAAGTAGTTTGTAAAATGGTGTCCAAGAATCTTCTCTTAATACTTTTTTTGAGCAAAATTTTATCTAGAGATAATGGAAGAAAATAAATGAAACAATTTCAGCCCAGAAGGTGGGAATGTGGTTGAATTACCCACACAAAAAGAAAGGCTAAAATTCATGTTTGCCATTATAAACCCACCTTCATGTATCTCTTGCTAGGAATATTTTCAGCAAATACAGCTGGTTGAAAATAAAAAATTTAATGAAATATCTGATTTCTTTTCAGCCACTTTTTGGATGATACCAAATTCACTAATTAGTTTGGTACTAACAACTATTTTGTTAACACAATAAGCCATTATAGAAGCTTATAATAAGTATAATTTTAAAGTTGTAAAGAAATAAATATGAGATTCTTCTACTTGATTTAAATTAATTAACTGATTATTCTTTCATTATCCTTTTTATATTTCAAACTGGTAACCATTTCAAAAATAGCACATGTTAGATTCTAAGTAGTAATAATATCAATAACAAATGATAGACATTTATTCAGTGCTATGTATTATTTAAACCAAACCTTTAACAATCCTGTGAGGTATAAAATG